CCTCGGAGCGGGCGGCGGCGGCGGAGGAGGAGACTGAGGAGCAGGATGGCGGCCTCGGCCCTGTACGCCTGCACCAAGTGTACCCAGCGCTATCCCTTCGAGGAGCTCTCCCAGGGTCAGCAGCTCTGCAAGGTCCGTGGGCGCCGGGCGGCGGGCGGGGTCTCTGTCGTAGCCCGAGGGGGCTGGGTGTCCACTGCACTGCAGCCCGGCTCTCTTCTCCGGTGCCTCCAGGATTTGGGAGTCTGGAGCTTGAGGACCTCTTTTCCTGAGGGCCTGGACACCAGCTGGGAAAGAGCCCTGAAGGAGACAGAATCCTGCCCTCTCCCATGAGGGGGCCGGGTCCCTTCCGCGTCCTGGGGTCTCGGGTGGGGCTGAGTGAGGCAGCCACCTGTCTATGCCGCAGAGACCCTGGGGTGGAGATGTTTTCATCTCGGTTTTCTGCCTGGTCTGTCCTCTCCTTCCACGAGGAGGCAGGGGACGGTTTTTGCACTTTCTTGCTAGGAACCCGAAGCCGCAAAGCTGATGGCATCCTTCTTCCCTGTCCAGGAAAGCGAAGCGACTGGTTTGGGAACAGAGTGCTCTGATTTGGAGCCCCTCCCATCCCATTAAAGCTGGGATGCTGTCTGTGAGCAACGGTGTAAAATAATAAGTAGTTTCACATTTAACCAATCCTTGAAATCGGCCTTGACAGCTTTCTTAATTTATCAGTAATACATCCTCTATATTTAATAAAGACAAAGACACCTATGCTTTCCCTAAGGAATTATATTGTGATTGGCCACTTACGTGATAAGTCACCCCCTTCTTTAAGTTGGGGGTCAGTTGTTATTTATGTTTTAAATGTTTGACTAGGTTGGGAAATAGTTTTCTACCAGAAAAGTAAAATTTGAAACTTTAAGATAGATACTAACGTATTGTCTTATTACAGGAATGTCGGATTGCACATCCTATTGTAAAATGTACTTACTGCAGATCAGAATTTCAACAAGAGAGGTTTGTATACTGAACAGTTTTTGATTGTTAAAGACCATGTTATCTGTAAGGAATACTTGGCTGTAATTTCATGTTTGTATTACAGTATTTTTAAAAAGTGGTTTAGCCCATGAATTTTACCTTATAAACCTTATTATAGATGGTGGGAGAGGAAATACCCAAAAAAAGTAACTTTTTTTCATAAATAGACATTAGTTTACATGCGAAGAAATAAAGATTAAATTATACATGAAAAATGTGCAACCTTGCTAATGAAAATGTGGACAAACAATTACCGCTAAAAAAGGTGGGATATTAATGGGCCCAAGGAAAGGTCTGTAATGTTACCAACACTTTTCCTAGAATGAAATCTAGTAACAGCAGCCATTGGAAGAATATCACATCCTCTTTAAAAAGTAGGAGATGCCCTTTTGAGAGTACACAGGAAAGTAGCTTATGAGGACAAAATACAGTTTCATCATAAATGGATGTGGACATCATGACAATGGAGAATGGCCCAGTGGCAGGTTAGATAGGCACTGATAACGTAATGTTGTGTGCATTGATAGTGGTATGTGTCAGGATTTTAGAACTCGATAGGAAACATTAAATTTCTTTTTAAAAAATACGAAATAATATGTATAAAAATATTGAAGTTAATGGAAAAGAAAAGTAGTTCTAAGAAGATCCTAACATTTGTTGAGAGAAAAATAAAATCCTTGATGTCTGTTTAGAGTAGGTTTAAATCTTTGACTCACCCCTTCAGCATCAGGCTAGTTATCTTTGAAAGCTACAGAAATGTGATCATCAGTATATGATTTCCCTTTCAGCAAAACTAACACGATTTGTAAGAAGTGCGCTCAAAACGTGAAGCAATTTGGGACAGTAAGTATTGTTTTATCCTTTCATTTTATTTTGTTATTAGTTAATATTTTCCTCAATGGTGGATATTCTAAAACATACCCATTATTATGTCCTTAAATACTTGAACATACGAAATATTTCAGGGAAGAAATTTTCTGTAAACTGATGGGGAGGTAACCACATTTTTAAAAGCTAAGTTACAGGACCAGTAGATGTCATAATGGTTAAATGACTAGACTCCCATGAAGTTGACTGTAGTTCAAATCCTGAACCTGGTGGCTCTCTTTGCCTCTCTTGGTCTCTCCAGCTAGCACATGTGCCTTATAGCAAAAACCTCTCTTTAAAAGAAAAAAAAAAAAAGGTCAAATTATGTGCACGTTTTATATGTGAAGTTCACTTTTAAATTTATTAACCTTTTTTTTTTTTTAAAGTGAAGCGGATTTTTGCTATAGAGCGCATGGATTTACCGGAGAGAGAGAAAGAGACCCCCAGGGGAGATGGCCATGCCACAGTCCCTTCTCCAGTTTCCTTTCAGGATTTCAGTCACACATGCACATGTGCCCAGTGTAAATTTTAAGTCTCTCAGTCCGGGACTAAGCTGTGGTTGACTTCATGAGAGTCCAGCAACGTAACCATCTGTTGATCCCCTTCATCTTTTAAAGATTCAAATACAGCAAGCTAGGTTATGGAGAACATACTTATCCATAAAGTTTGGAAAATTAAACTTTTTCCCCCCCTTCAGACCTATGTTTGTATAGCTGTATAATTTAGGTATTTATTTACAAAGTCATGATATTCTCCTAGTACAAATTGTCTGGCGTATATTTTATAGTCATTATTGGGATATTACACAGTTATTATTAATAAATGTGCTGACCTTAATGTTTTATGCTATTCTGAAATTAGTTTTGAATATCAAAGAAAATAAAGGTGTACTTGTTATAATTTATGTTGAATGTGTTTGTGCCAGTTTTTTTTAAAGCCGGGAATTCTAATATATATTCCTGGTATGGTAACTATTTGTATATGTTAGTAAATGATACCCTAAATAAGCTAACCAGGATATTAGTTGGTCATTCCCTTAAAATGTGGATACTGGAGACTTTTTTGTGTCTTTATTTTGTTTGAGACCTTTACCATGCTTAACTTTTATAAAACATATGTAAATAATAAATATATTTCTCATAGTGTTACCATTTTAATATCTTAATAGAGTAGTTGTTTCATGGCTCTAGAAATAAATGTTAGTTGAATGAATAGAGGCAAGATAAAATTTTTGACAGAAAACATTTTTACCTATTAGTTTGCTTAATTCATTCCAGAAATATATCAGTAACACTGGGTATGTTTTATGTAGGAAATTTTTCATTTTTTAAAATATTTGAATTAAAGAAAATGTGTGTTTTTTCAGCCCAAGCCTTGTCAGTACTGTAACATAATTGCAGCATTTATTGGTACCAAGTGTCAGCGTTGCACAAATTCAGAGAAAAAATATGGACCACCTCAGACCTGTGAGCAGTGCAAACAACAATGTGCTTTTGATCGGAAGGAGGAAGGAAGAAGAAAGGTATGTCTTATATTTGTCACTTCTTGAAAGTTAATAAAATAAACAAGGTAGAAACTATTTAGCTAATAATAATTAGTAAGCTTAAGATATGATCTATTATTTGGGCTCCTGAAAGCTTATAGATGAAAGTGAAGGAGTGGTTAGTTTTTTTTTTTTTTTCTTTCTTTTTGCTGTAGGGCACATATGAGATAGGGATTGAGAAATCATCCCCGAGGGGGATGGTTATACCACAATCCCTTCTCCATTCTCCTCTTGGAATTTTGGGCATGCACACACATGCGCCCAGTGTGGCTTTTAAGCCTCTGGATCTGTGACTCAAACCATGATCAACTACGTGGGAGTCCAGTGATGTAATCATTACGCCATCTGCTGGTCCTGTTTCGGTTTTTCTCTGTCCACCATGACTTAGTATGTGTGCATGCGTCATTTCTCTGCTGATCAGCATGCACACAGGTCTCCTGTGGTCTATTAATTTCGATTAAGAGGATGACTGTCTCTGAAGGGTCCTACTTGATCTCCCCCACCGCAGCGAATGGACTCTAATTGTAAGACATGCCCCTGTGACATTCATCATGTGAGCAGACAGAAGGTAGAAACGTGATTTTATTTTATTTATTTATTTATTTATTTATTTATTTTGGAGAGGTTTTTGCAATAGGGCGCGTGTGCTTGCCAGACAGAGAGAGACAGAGAGATAGAAAGCGAGAAATCACCCCCCAGGGGGGATGGCCATGCCGCAATCCCTTCTCCTCCATTCTCCTCTCGGGATCTTGGGCACGCACGCACATGTGCCCGGCATGAGTTTAAGCCACCAGGTCCAGGACACGAACCGCAGTCGACTTCGTGGGAGTCCAGCGACATAGCCATTACGCTAACTGCTGGTCCCGTGATTTTATTTTTATAGATTTGGTCTAAATAATTTTGGAAAGAAACCTTCCTCTCCCCAATGACAAGTAAAATTGATTCTCCTTATGTGATGTATGTTCTCTAAAGTTGCCCCAAACCCTGAATTAGTGAATACTGAACCATTGCTCCTAAGGGAGATTAAGGATTAGGTTCTCGTCTCTGGTCATAACATGTTTGGTCATTTGATCAGTACGTAATCTTTGTGATTTTCTGTTCGCTGATACTTGTTTAAAATATATGTTGATTCATTTCATTGAACTTGTGACCAATAGCACTAATGTTGCCTGAACAAAGCTTATCTAACACATTATTTCTCTATAAGGCACATTACACCCTTGAGCTTAGCAATTAAATATACAGCACTTCAGCACTGCTCTTTGGGACCATTTTAGACATCAAAATCATGAATAAAAAGCGCAAAACTTTGAAAAACATGACACCAAGTAGAACATGAAATGGATGCTTGTTTACAGTATGAGAATTAAAATAAGAAGGCCAAGTGTCACCCATTTCACCTCAGCTGGGAACATAGGCTGTCAGGTGACAGTGTTTTTGCCACTCTGCATGTGTGTGAGTGACCACAAAAGTTCATCTACAAGTATTTAGTTTGGGGTTGCAGATAAACTTTACCAAGTAGGCAGATTTGCAAGTGTACAAATAATCAGAATTGACTATTGGATCATTTACACTTTCTTGTCCTATAAATTCACAATATTTTCTTCAGTGGGAAGTATTTTGTCACTGTGAATTAAGAATTCTAGCAAGACTTCATAGAAGTGTATTATTAACTTTTTTTTTCCCATTCTGGAAAATAAGCATAATATTTCTCTCTCCAAATTAAAAATGCCTCAAAACTAATGAAAGCCTACATATCATGCTCACTCCTTTTATTTTCTTCCAAACAAGCTTGTTTCCAAGTATCAGAAAATTCTTTTTTTTTTTTTTTTTTTGGCAAAAATCTGTGAATGTACATATGTATGTGTAGATGAAATAAACTGAAAGTTGAGCACTTATCTTATTTGGTTTTACGTACAGCCAATTTATGAATAATACATCTAATCTAATTACAAATATTTTCCTTAAAGGTTGATGGGAAGTTACTGTGTTGGCTCTGTACTTTATCATATAAGAGAGTTTTACAGAAGACAAAAGAGCAAAGGAAGAGCTTGGGATCATCACATTCAAATTCATCTTCTTCTTCTCTTACCGAGAAAGACCAGCATCATTCAAAACATCATCACCATCATCACCACCATCACCACCGACACAGCAGTAGCCATCACAAGTAAGTATTTTGAAATCAGGTTTTCTAAAATCCTTCCTGGAATTTTAATGTCATATTAGTATTTAGTTCTTGTAAATAATGGCTGTATGTTGGTCTCATTTTCTTCACACATAGTAAGCTTTTGGAATGTCTGAAGCTGTGTCCTCGCCTTACTCAGTGTACAAAAATACACATATGGGTTGTGTTTAGCTGTTTACAAGATGACAAAGATAGGATATTTAAGAAATTTATAAAATTCTATCATGAAGTCGGGACCAGCAGTTAGCAAAGTCAAAATATTAGTTAATATTAGTACTTCAATCACTTAACGTTATTTAAAGCCTTGGTTTTTTTACTTAATTGTTAGAATTTTACTTGTAAATCATATTTACATCAGTTTTCATTAATTTGATTTAGTAAGGAGAACAAATGACTTGGAAATACAATCTTTGGAGAATACATTATAGCCCTATCATTTGTGATTGTAATAGAAACATTCTTAATCTCGGCAGTCCACAAAATATGACAAATAATAGTTTAATGGTACTTGGCCATTTTTTAGAACACACACACACAGGAACCCTGTACACAATCCTTTCTCCATCCTTTAAAGTGACCTGGTAGGGGGAAAAGTTACATAGTAGTAATCTCTTAACACTTAGCATGAGTAGTATAGTTTTTTTAACTGTCCTTTTTAGTTTTTGTGGAAAAATCAAGAACATTAAAAACAGACAAACACAGAAAGCGGGGGAAAAATAAGCATGTACTCCCAATTTCAGAAAAATTTGTTCTTTTCCTAAATTTCTCTATGAATCTTTAAAGTTTCAGGTATTTAAAATACAGCTTTATTTACAAAAACACCTAGGCCCACCCTTTTTGAACATATCTTGTAATTTTGGAGTATAATACAGTTCTGCATAATTAACAAGATTTTATTACAGACTGTACAGAGCACCTGTTATGAGGTTTTATTGAGACACTGATCTGCTACATTGTGTTTACTAAGGTGTATCTGGTACACCACAGTCCAGTGATCTCTAATCTATCTTTGAAAAAAATCTTGTGCCCTTTTTTATCAGAGTTTTTGGTTTAGGGTACATGCGCTTGCCAGAGAGAGAGGGAGAAACAGACAGACAGAAAGCGAGAAATCACCCCCCAGTAGGGAATGGCTACACCACAATTCCTTCTCCATCCTCTTGAGACATTCACACACATGTACCTGCGTGTGCATTAGTTTTAAGCCACTGGATCTGGGACTCAAACTTATCAGCTATGTGGGAGTCCAGCATCTTAACCACTATGCCTCCTGCTGGCCTCATGTTCTGTATGTATCAGAGTACCTCAAGCAACAAAATCTTCCTTGTTTTTGCTTCTTTAAGAAAAAATATGACAAATAGCATATACCATAGCAACATATGTCAGACCTACTCCAGAGATTGTTTGTTCAAATGTCTCTTTCCCCTGTCCTTTACAGATTAAATTTGACTATAAGATGTGAAAGAGCACACAATCAGAGTGTGTTTGTAGAGATCAAATTATATAATAGTAACACAGTGTTTTGAAAACATGACAAATCTCTAAAAAAAGAAGTCAGTATTGACTTAGAATTTCCTTTTCTTTTGATTACTTAAGAAATATAAATATGTTTGTATTTGATGATTATGAACTATTTGATGGAGAGAGACAAAAGGAAAGTGAGAAATCTCCCCTACCCCAGGGAGACGGCCATGTCACAGTCCTTTCTCCGTTCTCCTCAGGATTTTAGGTATGCACACACACACACATGCCCAGCATGATTTTCAAGCCACTGGATCCAGGACTTGGACCACTGACAGCCATGTGAGAATACAGTGCTTAACCCCTACATCATCTGCTGACCCTGTCTACTTAGGGTTTTTAGGAGAGTCTTGAACTTAAAGGGTGTGTGTGCTTGCTGAGAGAGACAGAGAAAGTGAGAAAGAACCTTTACATAGGGTTGGTCACAACACAGTTCTTTATTCCCCATCTCTTCCACCTTTTAGAGTTTTGGTCATGCGTGTACACGTGTGTAACTTGTTTTCCAAGCTGCTAGTTCCCAGACTTGGAACACAGTAAGCCATGTGGATCCAGTCACATTAATCACTATGCTGTTGGCTATTTATTTATTTATTTATTTGGAGAGGTTTTTGCTATAGGGCGCGTGCGCTCGCCAGACAGAGAGACAGAAAGCAAGAAATCACCCCCCAGGGGGGATGGCCACGCCGCAATCCCTTCTCCTCCGTTCTCCTCTAGGGATCTTGGGCACACACGCACACGCGCCCGGCGTGAGTTTTTTTAAGCCACCGGGTTCGGGATGCGAACCGCGGTCAACTACGTGGGAGTCCAGCGACATAGCCATTATGCTAACTGCTGGTCCCAAGGCTATTTTTTAACATTCCATTTTTCTATCTAAATAGTTAAGGTAGCCAGAGTACAGTTATTTCTTGACTTCAGAATTATAGAACCCTGTTGTGCTAGTTCTCATATTTATTTACCCCAACTGTTGGTATGATATTAACCTGAATTGTGAAGATCTGATTAGAAAGAAAATTCAGCCTCTTATCAGTGTACCTTTCTTAAAAGTTTCAGGATGGCTAGTATTGTGATTAAATATATTTTATTCAAATGAGGTTTATTGAATATACAAAAAGTTTATGAAAAAATAGAATTAAGGTATATTTATTTTTATGAAAAATTTGAAATCCATGCAAAGTTTTTTATAATACACATTTTACATGAACTTTTTGAAGACCTCTCATATTTGCTTAGCCTGAAAACTTATATATACTCTTTTTTGGGGGAACAGATTATACACATAAAATTTTATTCCGTGGAGAAAAAATGCTGGTAAACATAGATTGTTAAATAAATGTTATTAGATGTCATTTATGTATTTTTCAGAATCAGCAATCTAAGTCCAGAACAAGAGCAGGGACTATGGAAACAGAGGTAAATATATTAACATATTTTCTAAAGCATTTTGAAAATTTTTTTAAATATGATATTTGTTTACCTTTGTTATTTAGGCTTTAACAAAAGTTAATCAGTTATGTTCAAGAATATTTTAGGGGAAGAATAAGTTATCCAGTGCCGCTGCCCTTTTATTTTAACTATTCTTAATTGTTATTACGTTTGATTTCAGCCATAAATCCTCTGCAGCAATTCAGAATGAAACTCCAAAGAAAAAGCCCAAACTGGAATCTAAGCCATCAAATGGAGATAGGTAAAAATGAATTCCTTTAGTGTTATAAAAATTCAACTTAATTTGAATATTACGATTGATTGCCAGTTATTACTAGATAATAGAATAGAAACATGAGTGTGTCTTCTACATTGACCTTTTTGAGTCACCTAGAAGAGTAAACATACTCAGCTAAAAATTAACTTAATTTTGGCAATAGAAAAGTGGCACTGAACAATGCACTGAACTATGTTCTATTTGGGGAATAAATTTGGGTTTTGAAAAAAAAAAAAAGATCTGAACAGAGGATCTTCTCTTAATTATTCTTCAAAGGAACACAAATCTAATTGTGATATTTTAAATTGACCTGCTTAGAAAATGTTTTTAGATTTAAAATATTATGAGCGTGACTTTGTTTTAGTTCATTAGCCAAGTTTGCTGATGTTACTGTACAAATTGGCTGCCTATTGCTTTACACTAGAAGTATTGACCCCCTAAAAGCTAATACTGAATTATATTTCTGCAGGTGTATGTAATGTGTGCCATTAGTAAGGTAATTTGCCAGTTGCATCCATTTCTGTCAGGTACATATTTTTTTGCATTAGCCTTAAGGATGTTTGTGGAATTGTCTAATTTATGCAATTTGAACACCTGATAACTTTCCTTCTATTTCATTTAACTGTGTTTTACTTTTTTCTTTTTAGTAGCTCTATAAATCAGTCAGCAGATAGTGGGGGAACAGACAATTTTGTCCTTATAAGTCAACTGAAAGAAGAAGTGATGTCACTCAAGCGTCTCTTACAGCAAAGGGACCAGACTATTTTAGAAAAAGATAAAAAGGTAAGTGCATGCTTCACTAAAGTCTAGTAAGATTGATTATGTCTTGCTATTTGCAAGTCTTAATAGACTTTCTTTAATAATGTGGTAATGTTTACTGTGTGTGATTCCTTATAATTGGAATCTAAGCCATCTAATAAAAATGAATAAAAATTGTATTTCAGAGTTTTAGGTCTTAAGAATTGACTGAGAATGGGACTAGCAGTTAGCATAATGTAGTCTACTATGGTTTGAGTCCCGGACCCAGCGGCTTAAACTTATGCCGGGCGCATGTGTGAGCATGCCCAAGATCCTGAGAGGAGAATGGAGGAGAAGGGATTGTGGCATGACCATCCCCTCTGGGGGGTGATTTCTCGTTTTCTGTCTCTATGTCTCTCTCTGTCTGTCCAGTGAGCACACGCACCCTATAGCAAAAACATCTCCAAAAAAAAAAAGAATTGACTGAGAACTAATTAGAATGGTAATAATTTAACATTAGTTTTCAGTAAGCATGTCATTTAAAAATAGGTCTAACATCTTCATGTAAAAATGAGATGTAAATAAAATATAGTATGAACAGAAATTAAATATGATCTTAGATATACTGATCAAAGACTTTATATTAATCCAGATCAAATCATTGTGAAAAGTAAAAATATGGGTATTTCCTGTGTGGTGGTTAGGTTACATCATTTTGTAGGAAATTAAATGCACTTATTAGAATGGTGTTTATCAAGTTAAATCAAAAAGAATATCAAATATGTTTTTTATTTAGTAAAAAGATGAATGTTAATAGAATTATAGATCAATTTAAAGTTTTCTTCTACAAGATCAGGATGGCATAATAGGGAGCAGGTGTAGAGCTGGAAACAAGTTTTGTAGTCATTTAGCTGCACACTAGGTTCAAGTCCCTATTTTAATATTTTTCTGTGTGACTCTGTGTAGAACACTTGCACTTCTTTGGACCTCAGATTTTTTATTTTAAAAATGGGAGAATTGGGGCCAGTGGCGAACAAAGTAGTTAAGGTACTGGACTCCCACATAGTCAACTGTGGTTCAAGTCCTGGAAACCTGTGGCTTGATACTCCACACTGGACATGTGTGTGCCCAAAATTCCAGGAGAAGGGATTGTGGTATGGCTGTCTCCTTTGAGGGGGAGTTTCTTGCTTTCAGTTTCTTTCTCTCCAACGAGCACATGTGTCCTATAGCAGAAATCTCTCAAGAAAAGAAAAGAAATGGGAGAATTAATACAGGCTTGTGCCATGGTTATGATGATTAAATGAAAATACATGGTACTTACTACAGCTCCTAGCGTAGTATAAAGACTTGTGGGTGCTGTGATGGATGTATGCCCATCTCTGAGGGTACAACCTTCTTTTGAACTTATCTCAAGGTCCTAAACAGTGTAGTTTGAGTTACTGTAAATCTCATACAATAAAAGGATATGAAAGATATTCTTATAATATAGATGAGCCATGAACACAAATATTAGTACATATATGAAGTATCAGTCACTCAGTATCCATAGTAGTGCTTGAATATGAGCTGGCTTTTGTTTTTGCCATTCAACAGCTTTTATGTACATTTTTCCACACCTTGATGCTTAGTAGACTTAAATTTAATACATTTGTTTCTGTAAGCAAATTCAAAATATAAAAGTTAAAATTGACATATGAGATCCAGATAGGATAATCATGGTGTCTTTATGGTTCTTTTTTTTTGAAAAATTTTTGCTGTAGGGCATGTGCTTTTGCTGCAGAGACAGAGTCAAAGAGATAGGAAGCAAAAAATCACCCCCAGCCCGGGCGGGAAGGGGGGGATGGCCACACTATAATCCCATCTCCTCCTTTTCCTCTTGGGATTTTGGGTACACATGCATACATGCCCAGCTTGCGTTTAAGCTGCGAGGTCCAGGACTCAGCCAACTACATAGAAGCCCAGCAACGTAACCATTACACCGTCTGCTGGTCCAATGGTTCTTTTGGATTACCAGTATTTTTTTTTTTTAATTACTGAGCTTTTAGAGAAAAAAAAAAATTTTTTTAAAGCGTTATTTAATTTTGGGGACCAGCAGGTGGCATGGTGGTTATGGCGCTGGGCTCCCACATGGCTTACCGCAGTTTGAGTCCCAGACCTGGTGGCTTGCTTTCTCACTTTCCCTCTCCCTCTCTGTCTCTCTGGTCAAATTAAAATAATAATAAAATTAAGTAAATCTTTAAAAAATTATTTAATTTTATTGTTATTATTATTTTAATTCCTATAGGGCATGTGCACCCACTAGAGAGAGACAGAGAAAGATGTATGGAAAGTGAGAAAGCAAATCACCAAATCCAGGACGTAAAATGTGGTTGGCCATGTTGGAGTCCAGCGCCTTAACCATTATGCCACCTCCTGGCTCCCTAGGAGAATGTTTGTGTTTTGTTTTGGTTTTGGTTTTTGCTATAAGGCACATGTACTGGCCAGAGAGACAGAAAGTGAGAAATGACACCCCCCCCACGCCCCAGCAGGGATGGCCATACCACCATCCCTTCTCCATTCTCCTCTCAGGATTGTAGGCACATGGGACCAGCAGTTAGTGTAATGACTATGATGCTGGACTCCCACTTAGTCAACCGTAGTTCAAGTCCCGGACCCGGTGGCTTAAACTCACGCCGGTCGCGTGTGCATGCGTGCCCAAGATCCCGAGAGGAGAATGGAGGAGAAGGGATTGCGGTGTGGCCATCCCCCCTGAGGCGTGATTTCTCGCTTTCTGTCTCTGTCTCTCTCTGTCTTTCTGGCGAGCGCATGCGCCCTATAGCAAAAACCTCTCAAAAAAAAAAAAAAAAAGGATTGTAGGCACAAACACACACACACGCTTGGTGTGAGTTTCAAGCCACCAGGTCCAGGACTCAAACTATGGTCGACTATATGGGAGTCCAGTGACATAACCATTATACCAAGTACTCGTCTGGAACATGCAAATATTTAAAGCTTGTATAATAAGGAACATTTAAAAATACTACCTGAAGCAGAAGCCATGTTTCTGCATGGTTCTTATAATGAAATTACTTGATTACTTAGTTTTAGTTTGAAGTCATGAGATTTTGCTTTTATATGTCATTTATATTTATAAAAAAACAAACTCATGTGACCTTTGCTTCCTCAAACCACTGATTTTTTTCTTATGTTTGTCTAACTTAGATTAAATTTTACCTTACCTCCCTTTTTTCATTCCATGTTAATTGTAGTTTAGTGCTTTTGTTCTCCATTTTTACCTCAAATGTTGTTAGTTAAATAAGGTCATTGCTCTTTATGCTTTCCCAGTGGGAAACCTTTTTCTTCTTGTCAAAAGATTATTTTTAATCTGAAGCAGTTTTAAATGTTTACTTCATTTTTATTAATGTGAAGTACATTTTAATTGAAGCATTTTCCAAGGTAATAGCCATTACGTTTATCTGTTGGCATACAAGTTGCCAAATTCTGTGTCCTCTGGATCCATTTTTATTTATTTGTTAAAGGCTACTTCTCGAAAGTGTTGATAGTCTGGTGTTACATTAACGTTAAAATTATACTACAGTAAACCAGATAGGGCATACATTTCAACAAGACAAATTCTAGACAGGTTATAAAAGGTACATTGCTATTAATGTCTTCCATAATGAAGTATGCGTTTATTATGAAGACTATTGAAAATGGTGTACATTTGTGCGTATGTATTATATACATAATAGACCTTTTCTTTTACTCTCATAGTTAACTGAACTGAAGGCAGACTTCCAGTACCAAGAGTCAAATTTGAGAACAAAGATGAACAGTATGGAAAAAGCTCACAAAGAAACTGTGGAGCAACTTCAGGTAAAGGCATTATTTACATAAAACATTTAGCATAAACAAAGAATGCTAAACTTGGGTAATAACATTCATTGATTTAGACTTGGTAACAGTATCCCTATTTCGTTTGTATTTGATGTGTTTTCAGATGTGATTTTGACTTTATAATAGTTTTTAATCCTGATCCCATTAAAAGTTACTGTTCAAAATAAATCACTTGAAAGGTGATTTTTACATTACTCCTGTAAACTTTGGCCTAACCTTCAAATGGGATTTTTAGAGGAAGTTATTATTGTGATACATTCAGTTATTATTAGGCTAAAAGCAAACGATTCACGAAATTAAGTCGAAAATAAGGTCTTTAGTAATAGGCATTCTTTCTAGTTCCCTTCAAGTAATTGGAAGGGAATTAGGTGATTCTTAGGGACCTCCAGTGCAGGAAATTTATGCTGCATGCAGTAATTCAAGGCAGAGTGTATTATTTAACCTGTGTATTGTGATTTACACTAGCCTGACAGGGTTCTGCTAAATGCCAACAACTTGTGAACCATGTCAACCTCAGAGTACTGCAGAGGTTATTAGGCAGACTTAAGCGTATAGAACAACTGCATGGGGAAGTCGAGAGTCCCGCAGTAACAGAGTAGTACCTGATGTTGGTAGGCAGAGATGGTGAGCACCCCATGTGTGTACAGATCATTCTGTTATTAAAGCGTGTTCTCAACTAAGTTTCATAAATCTAGAAATTGGACCACACTAAATTAATGACATGTTCTGTCTGATTTATACATTCTGACGTTTGTAAAATTAATCTTTCAGTAATAAGATTAAGGTTAAGAAGGTTTAAGTTTCAAAAGCATAGAAGATGCCAGCACACAAACTTCAGACTTGATGGGAGAGTACAGCTTGAGGAGAAAGGGATTCATAGGGTTCTGTATCAGTAACCCCAAGGGATATTTGCTATTTTTTTCTTCTAGTTTTCCTCTCTTCCTACTTGTTTGCTAGTAGCCTAAGTTAAGTAAAGTTTACAGACCTGCTGAATTTGAGATATGGGTTGCCTGGATTTAACCCGGATCTTAGGGTTAAAGAATTTTGAAGAAGAATTTCACACAGAGTCTGGGACGTAGTAGGCATTCAAATAGTTGGTTGAATGAGTGGTGATTTATCAAATTGTCCCAGCTTTCCTCTGTCCTGAGAGATTTCCCATATCACATCTTAGACTTCTTGTACATTAAATCACGGGGGTTTTTTTTTTTTTTTTTTTTTTTTTTTTCTTCCCCAGATCTACTATCAAGTGTTAGTATGATACTTTTTTTCCCTCATTAAGTTATTAATGCTGAATGAATGAGTACCTGGAACAAAGTCTTAGGTGTGATGACCTCTGATTAAATGTGGTTAACCGGTTCTGCAGTAAATCCTGAATGTGGTCACAGAATAGCTCCAAGTGGTACTTAGAAATGATTTAACTTTGTATCTCCAACTGTAAAAAAGAAAGCCTTTTTTATAAGCCATAGTTGCAAGCACAGTGTCCTTTTGACTTAGCCAGATTGGCGTCTTAAGCCTGTCCCCTCTTGGTTGATAGCTGAAGTTTTATATAATAACAGTCGTAATTAATATTTATATGGAAGTAGAACATTTTCTGGGCCAGCCGTGGTGTGGTGGATAAGGCACCAGGATTCCACATGGCTGATTCGGCTGTTTGAGTCCAGGACCTGGCAGCTTGAAAAACATGCTGGGCCCTTGTGTGTACACGCCCGCAGTGCCAAGAGGAGTTGTGACGTAGCCATCTTCATGGAGGGGAGGGTACTTCTCACTCCCCTACCTCTTTGTCTCACTCCTGTGAGCATATGCACCCGATAGCAAAGTTTCTTTAAAAAAAAATTAAGAATTTTTTCAAGTTTAAAAAGTAGGACATTTTCAACATGACTTTACATATAGTATCTTAATTACTCCTTAAAATAGCCGACTTAAATGGTATTCCCATTTTACAGATGAACTTGGCACACAATTAGTGGCATAGAAACCTACATCTTCTGACACAGGTTTGCTGTACTTTCCCCTGCTCCCATCACCTCAGGTTACTCAGGTTTTCTCTTCATGCTTGTTTTCAGGCCACTTCCCTGTATCTTGGGTTATTGCTAGAGATATTCTGGCACATTTCTGTCACAGCTAAGTGCTGTCTTTTTACCCCACTCCCTTTAGCAGCCAGAGTACTAGTAGGATTCTCATCTAAGGTGAGTAAACAAAATTAAAATTTTTGTTTTTATGTGATAAGGAATTGAACCCTGTAACACAAAATTTTATTCTGATAGCTCATAAAATATTTTTAATTACCAGGCCTGGGAATAAGCTTTGAACATTACATGAAAAATTGTCTAAAACACACCCCTAAAACACACCAAATTATTTATAATAGTAAGAATACGAAACAAAAATACTACCATTTGTTTAATAAGTGGCTAAAAGGAGAAAGGGAGCTAACATTTGCCTACTCTGTCCTACTGTGAGTGCCTACTATGTACCAGTTCCTGTGTTAGGCTAAGTGCTTTATATATTGGATTAGTCCTTTTAAGTCATTTCTAGGTGAATGGTGGAGTTTGTTTTTCAAATAAAGGGGTATGCTTGTTTCCATAGCAGGTCAGTGGCAGATCTAGGATTTAAAGGAGGATCTATACGACTCTTAATCCCGTTAGTTTTTTTTCCTTTGGGCCAACATGTCTAAACATTTTTAACCTTATTGATTAAGAGTTTAAAATAATTTCATTGGCTTTTGCATAGTACATACTAAAGAAATTTATTTTAGGGAAACCTATTTAAACTTAAAATGTGTATATGTTTAAATATTGTACTACAAAAAGTTGTTTATGTTACTCAAATTAGAAAAAGACAGAATTGGACTTGGGTCCATTTAACAGGGTATACACTGTTGATTTATCTTTTTTAAAATTAATTATTTATTTATTTTAATTTGACCAGAGAGGGACAGTGAGAGGGGCGGGAGGGAAGGGGAGGAGTGAGAAAGCAATCCACCAGATCTGGGGCTCGAACCATGGTCAGCCATGTGGGAGTCCAGCACTCTTAATTACCATGCCACCTGTGGGCCCCACTGTTGATTTATCTTAAAGACCTTTCTTATGCAACTTATCAATAAAAAATGTGTTAGTGATGTCATTAGGGAACTATATGTATAAATGCAGACTGAAAATTAGCTACTTAAGCATTGAAATGAAAAATTGCTTTCAAGACTTGATTTTTGAGTTAGAATATGAAAATTATAAATGCATTGACTTTTACTTTTTAATTAATGATAATTGAGAAAAGATAATTTGAAGGTTTCAGTATTTAAACATTTGGCATGTCAGTGTAAACATTTTTTATATAAATGTAACTTACAGATCTGTGGAAGTCTCTTTGAAGCAAATTTGCAGACAGTTTTTTTATATGCCCTGCATTTATTTGTATTTTAAATTTGCCTCTTAATGTTTTTTTTTTTTGAGAGTTTTTCGCTATAGGGCGCGTGTGCTCGCCAGACAGTCAGAGAGAGACACAGAGACAGAAAGCGAGAAATCACCCCCCAGGGGGGATGGTCACACCGCAATCCCTTCTCCTCTATTCTCCTCTCGGGATCTTGGGTATGCCCACACATGCGCCCGGCGTGAGTTCTAAGCCACCGAGTCTGGGACGCGAACCACGGTCGAGTACGTGGGAATCCAGTGACATAGCCATTACGCTAACTGCTGGTTCCCACCTCTTAAATTTTTTATTTTTAGCCAGTGAGTCTGTTATAAATTAAATAACAAGTAGCTGGCAATTAATTAAAAAACTTAAAGATGGACATTGGCCAGCTGAGAAATAGACTGATTATTATGAATGTGGTGTTTGTTTTCCCTAATTGCCAGGCATTCTCATCAATTTGCTTTCCAAGCTTCTCAACTATTAATTCTTTTCTATTTGATGATTTCTAAATTTGAAGTTTAAAAATTTGGTTTCTGAATTTGTATTTGAAGCACTTCATTACCACCTTAGTTATCTGATAATCATTGAGTACAAAATTTCTGTTAATCATGCACCTAAACAAAAAATGATTTGATTTGGACAAATAAGATAGCACCAAGAATATTTGCATTTTGGAGGTCATAGTGTTAATTAAGAAGAGTCTGACTGGAAAGAGTGAGGGGGTAGAAGTGAGTAGCCTGGGAAAGTTTTATATTTTATGAAACCACTTTATGGTGGCATGTGTAGAGGAGGGTTTTTAACTGTGCATACAAAAGTGGAATAGAAGATGCACTGAGGTTAAAAAGTGTCTCAAAAAAATCTTGAAACCTGTGGCATAAACCAGAGAATATTTTTAAAATTTTAATTTTAGGGGAGTGTTCAGGTACATTTCTTTCCTTATTTTGGCTCAGAAACCTCAGACATGCTTGATCACTATGTATTTGTATATACAGGCCATCCTTATTTAAATTTCCACAGCTAAGAGACTGCATAGGGTGGCAAAGGTAGTCAGAATATGAAAGTACTCATCGAAGGTCCTTACTTACACACTCCTCTTCACTAAACACTGGTGCTCATCATAGTACATTGATCGGCTGAAGGACAATGATTTTGCTAGTGGTGAATGAGACATTTGATAAGGAAGTGCAAATTCAGGCAACTCATGAAATTCTGAACCTTGCCTGCCAAAATTTGGAATTTTTCTGAAATTGAAGACAGTGATGATTTAGAACTGCCCGATCACTCTAAAGCCAGTGCCAAGTGACTGTGGCAATTGGGGCCAGCAGGTGGCATGTGGTTAAAGGCGTTGGACTCCCACATGGCTGAGCACGGTTCAAGTCTCGGAACTGGTGGCTTGCTTTCTCACTTCCTCTCTCTTTCTCTCTTTCTCTCTCTCTCTCTCTCTGATCAAACTGGAAAAAAATAATGATAATAAATAAAAGTTAAATAAAATACTTCTTTTAAAAAAAATGACTATGTGGCAATTAAAGTAACAAAAAATAGTATGAGAAGAGGTGTTTCTAATGGGTGCTTTATAAAGAAAGTCTTTTTTTTTTTTTTTTAAGTGACTTAGTGTTTGTTCTATCAGAAGGGTAAACATTGAATGAAAGACCTTATACAACTTGCTGGGAAATAGTCCTCTGAAATGAACCCTTGATTCATTATTTGATTTTATTTATTACAAATCACAACCTTCATAATTTTTCCTTGCATGTTTTTATGATAAAGGGCTATTTTTTTTTTCTTATCTAAAAATTTGGACCTTGTTTTAAATTAATTCACTTTGTTACTTTTTATATATAAACAATTGTATCTTTAGACAGCAATTATATTAATACTGACATTTACAAAGGGAATTGATAATCAATCTAGAATTTTCCTTTAATTCCAAAAAGATGAAACTAAATACACCTCTTTCATTTAATCTGTTAGTAGTTTGGTGAGCTCTTTCATTATATAAATGAAAATAATTGTTGAATAAGTAATATACTTCCTCTTGACTCCTAGTAATATTTCAAACATTATAATCTGGAATATTTTGTCTTCTACAGGCCAAAAACAGAGAACTACTCAAACAGGTTGCGGCATTGTCAAAGGGTAAAAAGTTTGACAAAAGTGGAAGCATACTAACATCTCCTTGAGAAAGTAATTTGTTTATTGTTTCTGCAGTGTAAATTTGGGGGAAAAAATTCTGTGACGCTCTTAAATTCTGTGTAGTGGAAAAATATTTTTACACACCAAATGAATTGGCGTGTTTCCTATTCACTTTTGTAACTGATATATAGCATTTTTAAGTTGTAAACATTCAGATAAAACTTCAACTGGTTTGAAGTGACTTTTTAATTATTTGATACCCAGGAACTTTCTTGCCAGCAATAGTATTAAACAGTTGTAAAGGAGTACATGAGTAGTGCTCTTCATAAAATGCAACATGCAATAACAGAGTAGGTATGATTTTAAGAAGTCCAAGCAGCAGGGTTTTTTCTTTCGCTGTTTTACACTATGCTAATTTCAGATAGTTTTCAATTTAGAAATATAAAAACTTTTAAACAAGGAAAATGGTGAACACTGGTTTTTGGGGGATTGTTGTTTTTACTTTGCATCAACATGAATTTAGGAGAATCATGGTGCTTTTTATTAAATGAACTTCAAAGTATATGTAAATATGTTTTTTAAAAGTTACATCATTAACATTAGTTAGCAAACCTAGCATTTTCATTATTGGCATAGGAATTCAAATTTCTTGTACAGTATCCACGGTAAAATGTGTTTTGTTTTGTAAAAACTACTGTAGATTTTTACTTACAAGTGCCTTTTTGCCACCTAATGTTTTTATTTATAGGAATGCTGATCTTTTGTACATAGTTTGTTTTAAAATCATGTTTAATAAATGTTTGTATATAAATGCATATGTACAGAAGCCTATTTCAAAAGGAAATCAAAGTTGCTAGTAAAATGTCTGAAGTTCCATTAAGAACTGATAATGCATAGACTTTAGATGATTTGTAGTTTGTTTTTGTGTGGTAAGGGAAGCTATTGGTCACAGAATTCATTTAATTATGTCAAAATACTTCCCCAAAGATTTAATTTTAAATCATTTTTAATAGAGTAAGTTTATTTTTTATGTCATGGCTTCACATTTATATTTCACAAGTTAACATGTTTTCCTTTTTTATATATATAAAAGTTCTTAAAATAATGTTTTTACAGTGGTCCATGTATCTGCTTTTCCTATAACGTGTGGTTATCTAAGTTAATATTTATATCTGCCATACTTAATTTGTAAATTGAAAGCAAATCTGGAAAAAAATTTTGAACTTTTTAATCTGTGATTACCTTTCAATAAATTGGAATCTACTGTAAGATTCAGGCACTATTTATAATAAATTGTCTCAAAGTGTTTTAAATCATCTATAAAAGATTGAGGTGGAGTGGGATAGTTATGTGAATCATTGACTCTGTTCTGATCCAGTGGTTTTTGACTTTTATGGAATTGATCTAATATCAGCTTAGACTTTTACTTCAATTTTAAAGCCTGAGGCATTGCTGGATATACTATATAGAGTGAAAGAGTTTCTTCTGTGGAGATTTATGGGCAAAGATAAATTTGTTTCAACTAATATAAGTTTAAAAGGTTTTGTTTTTAGGCAGGTGTTGACTATGAATGTCATAACAGATATAGGCCTTCTTAAGAACATATTATTATAACAATTTTTTTTAACGTGTCTTGTATTTCAATAGACGTTTTCTATAATTGCTCATTATAAAGTGATACCAAATAGTTCTTTGTCCAATTTAGAAACGTAGGATAATTTTCAAGTGAGAGTAAAAGATTGAGTCAGTCAGACTTGGAAAAATTAAACCATTTTATTTTTATGAGATTACTCTTAAATTTAGTACTTTCAACAATGAGAAATAATGCCTTAACCTGGATTTTAATATTTGCAAGATTTGCTAAATTCATAAGATAATCATTTTTCTTTAAGATTTATAGTGTTTTATATTGTAGTTTCATAGTCATTTGTCAATCCACAGTGGTCATTATGGTTTTTTAAGTAAATTGTAGTAGTTCTTATACTTTGTTGGAGATGCTACAAAAGAAATGTGCGCCCTCACATCCCTACCCCCACTTTAAAAATTGAATCAGCCTAAACAATTAAGTTTTGTAAATTCGGAGGCTAAACTATTTGAGAGGCTTTACAGTATTTAGCCCTAATTAAATACCCTCTTATTCTGTGACTTTATAACTTAAATTTTTTGCAGTTATGTAAACTTAGTAATTCTGTCCCAGTCCTGAATCTGTAGTGTATTGACATAATAAGCTGATACTCTTTAAATGTGGACCTGTAAAGAGATACTATGGTGTGCCGTATTGTGCTTTTAGCCTGTTTTCTGCTATTAATTAGCGTTTACCAGTGAGGGTCATTTTGGCTCAAGTTATTTATGTTAAAAGCCTGTTAATATTGCAGTCCTTTTTAGGATGTATTGGTCTGAATATGCATTCTGCAGTGAACCTGTTACGCTGTTCACATGTATAGACTATTGAAATACTGTACTTGTACACATCTGACTGTTGACATTTTGTACTTTTTCTAAATCCAATATTTCACAATAAAAACTTCTCAAAAGCTTTGCACTAGTTTCCAATTGCTGCTGTAACACATTACCAAAAACGTATTGGCTTAAAAGAACAAAAATGAACTCTCTTAGAGTTCTGGAGGCCAAAGTCCAAAATCAGTCTCACTGGCTAAAGTCAAGGTGTGGGCAGGGTGGGTTTCTTTGGGAAGCCCCAGAGAATTTGTTCCATTCCCTTTTTTCAGCTTCTATTACATTCCTTGTATTCTGTGAGCCCATTGACCTTTCCATCATCTTCAAAGGTGAAAGCCATATCTCTGCTACTGATAACGGCCTTCTCATACTGTAGCACCTGTCTCTCCCTCTTTATAAGGACTCTCTGAAGACATCGTTGGAAACACTTGGATGTACAGGCTAATCTCCCCATCTCCAGCCCTTTAACTTAATCACAGCTGGAAAGTCCCTTTTGTCATATAAAGTAATGTATCCGCAGGTTCCAGAGGTCAGGGTATGGACATTTTGGAGGGATCGTTGTTGAGCCTTCCAAAGTGACACCTACTTTCTCACCATTTTCCCTGTATGGCATCCTAAAACAGTGGCTCAGGCCGCAAATTAGAAACTTTTCCTTTCTGTTTAAGACTATAGTGCAATAGTTATTTTTCTGGGAGAAAAATACACAATTTTATTTAATTGAGCTAATATTTCAAAGCAACAAAGCATATCGTACTATGTATAGCTGAGTTTTTGAAAACTTTAAAACATGACTGGTACCATGCTAGATTGTTTGAAAGGAAACAAGTTGAAGACATGATCCGTTAAGTAATTTACAGACTAGTTGGGAAGACAGTACATGGAAAAAAAATAGCTTTTAAGAAGAGCCTTCTGGGCTCAGCAGTTGGCGTAATGACTATGTCGCTGGACTCCCATGGAGTCGACCATGGTTTAAGTCCCAGACTTGGTGGCTTGAACTCCTATCAGGAGCGTGTACATGCGTGCCCAAGATCCCAGAGGAGAATGGAAGAGAAGGGATTGCAGCGTGGCCGTCCTCCCGCCCGGGGGGGATGTGGGGTGTGTGTGTGATTTCTCCTTTCTGTCTCTCTGTCTCTGTCTTTCTGACGAGCGCACGTGCCCTACAGCAAAACAAACAAACAAACAAACAAAAAAAAAATAGCCTAAGGATTAGGAAGGTATGGTCTAAGTTACTGATTTCCCAAGCCAGTATGCATCAGAGTTACCAGGAGGGCTTGTTCAGCACATCGCTGGGCCTTACACCTAGTTTCTGAATCAGTAGGTTTGAGATAGTGCCCAAGAATGAGGGTTTTTTTTTTTCTTCCCATTGGCCGGGAAGTTCAAGATCAGGATTTCTATGTGTAGTATGCCCTGGATGGTGAGGGCCCTTTCCTCACTGTTTCCTCACATGGAGGAAATCACGAGGTGGCTCTCTGGGTCTTCATTTATAAGGGCACTAGTCCCAGTCATGGGGGAAGATTTGAAGATTCCTTATAATTGAATCACCTCAAAGCCCCATCTTTTTTTTTTTTTTGGAGAGGTTTTTGCTATAGGGCACGTGCACCAGACAGAGTCAGAGAGACAGAAAGCGAGAAATCACCCCCCCAGGGGGTATGGCCACGCCGCAATCCCTTCTCCTCCGTTCTCCTCTTGGGATCTTGGGCACGCATGCACACGCGCCCGGCATGAGTCTTAAGCCACCGGGTCCAGGACGCTAATCGCAGTTGACTACATGGGAGTCCAGCGACATAGCCATTATGCTAACTGCTGGTCCCCCATCTTTCTTTTTTTTTCTTAATTTCTCCACAGTGAGAGAAAGTGAGAAAGTACTACCTCTTCACCCTTGCCTCCTACCCCCCAGGCAAGGATGACCATGCTGCATTCCCTTCCTAGCCTGCCTTCTCTCTTCTCGCAGGATTTTGAGCAGACACACATGCATGTTTGTGCATGTACCTGGGATATTTTCTAAGGTCCAGGACTTAAACCTAACAGCCATGTGGGATTCAGCCACCTTAACCACCACGCTATCAACTGGCCCGGCCCAATTTCCAATACCATCATCTTGGTGATTAGGATTTAATTTATGAATTGGAGCACGTGGGGAAGGGTATACACAAACATTCAGGTCATACTACCTGTTCCACCCAAAACCGTAAAATAGTTTAATCCGAGCCTAAAAGACCTTGACTTTAAAGCAGGTCTTTATACCACACTGTGACTTGTATGGCTCATCAGTGATGCATCTGTTCCTGCCCCTCTTTTCTTCTTTAAATTCTGTAAATTAAAGAGGGAACAAAATGCATTTAAAACGTTTTACCTTTTTTGCTAAAATTCCTACCTATGTCCACTAGAGGGAGGGCTTCACTGCCAAATAATACCATGCGGTATTTTTTTTCACTTGCTGCTAAGTCACAGGCATCATGATAACAAGCATTCTCATGGTTACTCTACAACGGAACGTTGTGTTACTCATGGTAACCCATTTTCAGAAGCATTTAGTTTGCCACAATTCCATTTTATATGTGGTGGGTTTTTTTTCTCAGTTCAGTCAATTGATGAGTGCAATAAACATGAGTTTAAAATTTTGATTTTATCCTTGGACTAATTGTTTTGAATTCAAAAATACTGTTTGATTGTTGTTTTAAATATTTCAGTAAAGGTTGATTTTGTGTGTGTGCACTTTTTCCCCCACTAGAGCCAGTCCTATTGATGCACTATGTACATTTATTTGGTCTGTCCTTCATCTGCCTGTGTGGGAATTCCTTTACCGTCTATGAGGGGCAACAGAACAGTTGGAATCAGCAGTCGTAAGTCAGAAACCCTCCATCTCCATCTGAACTGTTGTCTCCTAGAGACTTGACGTGGACACTGCGTTATTGAACTTGTCTTTATCAGTGTACCCTGCAATCCTACAGCTATGTGATACAGAGCCTGTGCAGCCGTGGATGATGGCCTGAGGCATCGAGCTCTCACTGGCCTAGAAATGGTGTGCTTTGAATCAAGCTATTATGTCTATTGGATGGCTCCTAAATGATCATTTCTTTGTAGATTTGCTCATTTTTTTCGCACTTCATGTGAATGAATTTTTCTTTTTAGAGAGGGTTATTAAACCTTCCTTATACGTTAATGAGACAGTGTCTTTTGGGAATCAGGAACTCATATGGGCTGGCCCATTTGGTTTTTATTGGGGAACCCCCTCCCCATTTTATAGTTTTAATTTCCAGTGTGGCTGTAAAAATCCTTTGTCCTTCACCTATATGACAGCTAACCAGTTGGGGTGCCCTTGGTTGATTTTCTTTGATAAAATTACTAACTCTTCAAATGTTTTCTAGTGAATAGCAAAAATTGTTGAGTCACTGAGCCAAATGTTTTAACATGCATTAGCATTCTGAATAACCAACCTGGCATGCTGCAACTTATTCAATGTACACAGTTTAGGAGATGCCTGAAAAGTAGTGAGTGAAACTGGAAATGGTGATGGGTTGGAACAGGTGTGAGGAGTTAACTTGAGAAACCTGGAGAGCATATGAGAGGAATGTGGGGCATTGAAAAAGGTGGGTTTCAGGCAGAAATTCATAAATATCAAAGAAATGAATAAACACCCAAAGCTGCATAATTACAGCATCCTACTTTTGCTTATGTTAAAATGACTTTATAGATGTCTGACTTAATCTGAAGTAATGGCATAGCCATGCTTCGAATCTTCATTCTTATTACATCATTTTCAAATAGATTTAAGTTCTTTGATAATATGCATTTTATTAATACAAACTAAGATTTTAAAATGGCTGTAGGAACTCGTACTTTCTTTAGAAATTATGTCGAAGTACCTCTCAAAAGGCATGAAGGGCACTTAATACATATTTTCTTTACATC